AAAAGGTATATATGAGTGAGTCAGCAATATAGAACTCTCTGATCTCTCTGACCTCCTTGCTGCTCACTCCCTGGTCACTCCCCTCTCTTCCCCCTCTCCCTGTTCCCTTGCCCTCCTTCCCTTCCCCCTCTCTCCACGTGGACCACCAATCTGGGCTGAGGTGAGCAATGCTACCATGTAATATGTCTGACTGCATTATTGTACTATCTCTCATGCTCTCCATGACTTTAATATAATACTTATATATCTCAACCGTACAATTGTGCATTACTGAACCCAGAAGTAGTATTACTGAACCCGTGGGTAGTATTAGTATTAGCCAGTGGGGGCTGGCTTCCCCACTCCTCCCAACGCCATTGTTGTTCAATACTACATTACATTTAGATCATCACAGTACACGAGTAACATACTATTTTGTAGCCTGAGTACTCAACAATTGAACTTCCCAATTTCTACTTTTTTTCAACCTTGATTCTGCCTGAGAACCCACTGCCCAACACAGCAGCATCCAACACACAGTCTGCCTTCTTCGCACAAGCTCTTCAGTGGCTCCCTACTGACCCGCATTTCATAAGATTGAAACTCCTTCAACTTGAATTCCTGGCTCTCCACCAAGCTTCCAGCTCCCTCACCAGACTTACCTCCCACCATCCCTCTCGCTTTACCACCACCACCTGCCCCCCACCTCCTTCCTGTCTCTGCTAGTCATAGATCCCTGCAACTAGCATGCCCCCACTCCCCTCTTTACGTAGGACAGTACCCTTTGCTTGTGAATGCCCCCTTAGCTCTCAGCCTCCCTCTCCTGGGGGCAGGCACCAGAACTAAGTCCTCTCTGTTCCCTGCTGTGACAAGTGGGAGCTGAGAGAGAAAGGCGGGAATTCTGTGTGAGGCAGTCTGACGGAGAAGGGAAGGCAATTTAAGTTTACATTTTATTATAGCAAGTACATTAACGGGCAGTGAAGGGTTGACAGCATGGTGATTGCTTAGAGACCTTCACAGCCGGGTCCAGATGAACGGTCCCTCGGCGGCTTCCATATTACAGGTGAGGATGAACAGGAGAGGGAGGGCGCCTCTCTTTATGGTGCCAAAGGCCTCTTTGTTTGAGGCAATGTTGACTTTGCCGGCGCCAGACCACGACCTCAGTCCATCTCTACCTGACGGCTCGTCTTGATGGTAGAATTCATTCTCTTGAGTCGAAGTCTTTCCCGATTCGCGTTTTCTACCCTGTACCCGAAAGATCACAGTTAGAATCCCCGAGGCCCAATCAGTGCTTTTCAGAATGGCGAGACGCTAGGCACTTTGAGGGGCCCAGAGCGGCAGGATCAGCGGGCACCAGCTCCTGACCCTCCTTCTAGCTCAGGGTCCCCACTTCCTGGTGCTCTTCCCTGTCTGCTGGGAGGCCCTGAGGAGCCCCGTCCATCAGGCCTTTCCTGGTACCTGCGCCTCCGCAGTTCCGCGTCTTCCTTCGAAGGCTCTCTGGGGGTCTGGCTGGCCTCAGTGATCATGTCTCGGATTTTCTGCAGGCAATCGGCCAGGTTCCGGAATTGATAGCGGCTACATTCGGAAGTGAGGATCAGCTCTCCTGCCCTGTTGATCTTGTTTTTATGCTGCAGAGGAAACACAGGAGAAGCTGAGACCCTCAGAATCAAGGTTGAAATGTCATTGAGGGAGCAAAGGGTAGGGGCTGTGGGTTACCGTGAGGGCGAGCTTCTGCCGCACGGGCTCTGCGATCCAGTCGGCTGTTGCCAAGTGGAACCTGACTTCAGCCTTGGAATTCACTGTGGGGGGAGAGGAGAGGGAACACGGGTCACGGAGACTCTCGGGGCGGCCAGGGAGCATCCAGAAATAATCAGTTCTACCCTCTGTGTAACTGGGGGACGAAGTTGGCAGTGGAAGGAACCTGCAGATAGTGAGTGAGGTGCCTTGGGACAACAAGAAAACGATCAGGGTGTTGCCTACAGCCTGCTGGGCGCTGGGGAGAGTGGGAACGGGGGCTCCCGGAGTATGATGGAAACCTGCTCTGGGTGCTGGCTGCTAACTCACCCTGCGATCGGTTTAGACTCACAAGCCAACCCTGGCCCTGGCAACCCGCAGCTGAGAGTCTAGGAATCAAAGCACATTCAAAAGAATGTGAAGGATTATTCTCCGTCTGCTCACGAATCCCTTTATTCCACATGAATATACACAGGGAGCCTGGCGGGCTGTCTCCCTGCGGAGGTTCACAGTCCCAGGAGCTCTGACCTTTATTCACGTTCTGCCCCCCAGGGCCACGACTCCGGCAGTAAGAGATGGTCAAGCGATCTGTACAGCAGGAGGAAGAGAAAAATACCGTGAACCTGTGAACCTGTGGCGAGCTGTGCCGACCGACAGCAACGACTTCCCTGGCGAATTGTCCCTCTCCCACACGCAGGCAAGCAGGTGCACCGTGGGATGGGGAACCTTCCCTGGTGCGCCGTTCCTGGCCTGACCTTTTCCTCTCTCCATTCACATCTTGAAGCACCGGGTTGAAGTCTTGTCCCTCTTTCCCTGTGGAGATATAACAATACCCTCCCCTTGGGTGGGTTAGTGCGCTGTTCCCCCGCTACCCATGTCTTTTTTCCCCTTTATTCCCCCTCCTTTTTAGTT